AGCTGAATAACCTTGCCTTATAATTTTCATTTACTACTCAACTTTGAGAAGGATGCGAATTCTGAAAAACAAAAAGTAAAAAGTAAGTTACAAGTTAGATGCCGAAAGTACGAAATTAAGGCAAAACTGTTTTTCCCTTTTAATATCACTAGATAGAACGTGGACGAGTTGATCAAGAATATATGTGTTTTTACTTCTTTTTTCGGACTTAATGTTTAGTGGAAAAAATTCAGATTTTTTTCTCATCACCTAATTTTTAGAACAAGTAGGTCAAAGTCCGACAATTGACATGATGTCTTTTTATTTGTTTCTTTCCGACATCAACATTATTTGTTTCAGATGCAGCGTGAAAACTGAATTTAACAAGGCCATTTATCAGGCAATTTAGATATAGCATGACAGTAACTTAAAGACCACAAGAATGGAGGGATCTTGAGCTTTTTTGATGCCAACCAATGTTTTTCTATGAAGAAATACGACTGATTTTCAAATCTCAATAGAATTTCTCGAGATTATACTTCAAAAAAGTATGCCTTGAATTTTTCTACCTTCTATTCTGTTACTGAGAAAACTCATTTTTATTGAATCATATGCCAGGATGCGACTTTTTGAACCTATATTTTATTACTCTAGTATTCAAAACAAACATATATTCGAAATCAGCACAGAAAATGAGTCGATGTGGCGATATTTCAAATTATTCCTAGAACTTTCATTTTCCTTCAAACATTTGCAACTGGTCTTCCTCAGGATGACCTCGAAAAGTTCATTACGCTCAGAATGCCATTATTAGTCAATACTTATATTTCTTATTGGAATTTACAAACATGTCGCCCATGAGTGACTTTCTTTGCATAGTCAGAGTCGCATTTTGAGCAAAGTGACTTTTCATCATCATCTTGAGAAGGACTAGTTGAAAATCGTTGAAAAAACATGAAAGTTCTCAAAATATTTTCAAATATCCATATCTCAACTTATCTTTCCGTGCTGATTCCGAATATATGTTTGTTTTGAGAACAAGAGTAGTAAATTATAGGAAAGCAACCAAATATTGGCTTAGAAAGGCGANTGCTAGCGATTAATCGGCAATTTTTATATAATTGCGGAGAACCGTCAAAAGTGAGGCGATTTTGAGGACATGGATTAGTAACTATTGATAAGGACTTTTTTATAATCATAAAAAATGATCTATGAGATGAAAAATGTTGGTTAAAAATATAAATTTCACAGTATTAAAAAAAGCAGAAAAATTCTCAAAAAGCAGAATTTTTCTGCTAAAAGCAGAAGAGGTGGCAGGCCTGGGTTTGTTAAGGTTTACTTTTTAAATCTTCATTGATTTCACTTTTTTTTCTTTAGAATGAATTTGTTCTTAATAAACTTTATATCATGGCTAATTTGTGCGAAATAGGTTTATTTGATTTTACTATAAATGAAGCTGTTGATCACGTATGCAAGAATCGACTTGATTTTAACTATTATTAATTTATTCGATTTCTGATATCGTAAATCGAGTTTTATTTTCAAATAAATACACCTATACTAAGAAGTGTTTATGAAATAAATATTGAACTAAGAAATTAAGAACAAAATTAAAATGGAACTAATCTAAAATATATGTTTGATTTAGTTTAATTACACTGAAAACAATTTTCATTTTTCGTAAAGCAAAAATGAATTTTAATGAGTGTTTTATTGCTTCGAATAATAGTTCTTTGAAACATGGTATATGTTTAATATGATCTTGTTTCTATAGTGAAGCTTTTAAAGACAACACTGATTCCTAAATCACGCACGCTATAATTGAAACTAAAATCATAACAAGTGAATGTTTTCAGTTGATCCTTATTCTCCATGGTAATTAGAAAGATGCATATACATTCTCGAGGCAAACTTCGAACGTCAACGTATTGTTACGATTTTTTGATCTATTCAGTGAATCACAACAGAGAAAATGTTTTTAAATTGTTATTTCTCAATTTGGGTACTATGGAGAATATTCTTAATTTCATTTTATCTTATCATTCAATGTACACTTGCAATTATTATTATCGAAACAATATATGCTCACTATATAGAGTAAGATATTTAATATACGCTTTATATTTTTCAAAACAGTGTTTTACAATCATTATTAAGTCACTCTATGCTTATCCCACATATTGACAGTCTTAAAAATGAGTAAGTTATGTTTATGTATTTTAAATGAGAAATGATAAGCAACTTTAATTTATGTTTCTTCTGCTCTGGCAAACTAAAACGTTCAGTTAATATTCTTCTATGTATTCTGAGCAACAATGGGGAACACATCATATATTCTTTATTGATTGAGCAAAACCAAAGTTCGACCCAACATTTTCTCGAGTATAACACCAAACTATACTGAAAAGCGTCAGAAAATCGCAGAACAATTTATCTAAATAAATTAGTTCTTCGAAATAGTATTAACTTATGTACAAACAGAATTAAATTGTTTTTTCAAAGCTTTCAATAGTTATTTTGATTTTAATACTTGATTGATTTCAACTAAAATACATTATTTAAATGATGAAAGGCGCCAAACAATACTTTGTTTTGTATTGATGAAATATGTGTGAAACTCTTTTTCTCTCTACTGTCATCACATTAAATTGAATGATTTTTTTGTAATCTAATCAAGCCAATTCTTATGTGTTTTATTCCAGCTATTGTCTGTCCTTCTTGTTTTCGATAAATTCGTACTCCATTCAGTTTGATATTTATTGATCGACCTCACTCGACTATTTTCATGCATGTTAGTAATCTTTCGTAGTTAGACAAATGGATGAAAAGGTTCATAAAAACTCAAGCGCATAATCCATCACTCTAGCTTAAGAAAAATATAGTGAGCTTCATTATTATCAACAATATCAATATTTTTGATTAAGACTAATTTTTCTTAATAATTCTATACTACAAGGATGTAAATGAAGTTAAAATTTATGATAGCCAATCGATAGATACAATAAGATAAGTATGCCAATCGTATATGAGTCATTATTAATATATTATTTTAATAAGATTATACTGAGGGTGTTGCTATGGATGAAGAAAAGATCAATACCCATATCTACAACCACAGTCACCCGTATCCACATCCACGTCTAAACTTTTATCGTCTTAATCATCGTTTCCACGCAAGAACATCGTCCTTTCAACTGATTGGATAGTTTAATTACCTGCATCATCTTATTCTTGTCACATCATACCAAAATATTTTTACATAACGTGCTTGGATGATTAGACATTGATTTTCATCCATGATTTATTTTTCGGATCGATTTTATTTAACGACCAAAATTTGAATTATGTGGGTTATTGTCCGATTCTTCCTCAATGGAAGGATACACTCATTGTATTGGATCAATACAAAGCCACTGAATAAAACATGACAGACACATTTAAAGAAGTTTGGTCCTTTTCACTGATCGTCAATGGTCCGTCCATCATTATGTTCATCATAATTTTGCAGGACGATGTTAGATATGTAATAGCAATGGAATACAATAATGTTATGTTTGTCTTTCTATGCACTGGAATACTCTTTGCCCAAGGAAAAATATCTTGCAACCTCTCATAAACCTTTTAGACTGTATCAATCCCTTTAGTGTCTTTCAGTTTCTAAAAAGACTAAAAAGACTAAAGAGATTAAAGAGAATACAAAGATCAAAGGCACTAAAATGGCTAAAAACAATAAAGGGGCTAAAGTATTAAGATCATTGTAGTTTAGATGGCACAAAATTAAAACGGGTTAAAATTAATTTTTCATGGACCACTCTATCATTGACAAAACTTTCTATATTCCTCTGGTTGTTATATAAAATCATCTTGTAACATTGAAAATATGCGTTATTATTTTCTATTTTGCAGTAGATGGAACAAAAATATAGATAAAATAAGAATGATCATTATTATTTTACAAATAACAAGTTATTCTTTCAATCATTTGATCAATCGAACGTAAAAATGGACAAACCATCACCATGAAAACAAAAGATATTTGTTTATTGTACATATTCAATAGTAGTATCATCATACCGATTCCTTGGCAGAAGTAGTTATTTCATATATGCATATTGATAAGCTTCTCAATTGAGAATTAAGAAAAAACATAGAAAAACAACTATATTTTGCATTTAAGAAGACCCTCATCAATTCAAGCTTTCTCGAAAACGACTTGGCGAAAATTTTCGAATCTTTCACGTTGCATACGTAGATCTTGATAAGTAGAATAAACGGTATCATAGACTCTAAATCTCAAAATGTTTCCTTCTCGAAGGCGCATAATTGAAATTTCTCCTCCTCTCCCATGCAGAAATCTATATGATGTTGTTTAGGACTGGAAATTTTTACTGTTGCAATTAGAATTAAATTCAGATGCACATTATGTTTTCTCTAAAAACGCCAGTGGCCCGAAACTCGAGTGGATCAATATACTGAAGACACACACTATCAAAACAAACGTTTTTATTCTTGAAAAGAAAATGTTTCAACTTTTTCTCTCAAAATCTGGTTTTAAGATATGTGCACAGAAAGTTGTATTTTTCTTATCGAAAAACGGAGTTCTTCTTCAAGTTTTTTTTTATATATCAACAAGGAGTTTTGACTTCTGAAAATGTACTGATTAAATAGAAGCTACCTACATATGTATTGTGAACATCGAAAATAAAATAAAATAAATTTTTCGGTTACAAAAGAAGCAGTAGGATCTCCTTGAATATTCCTATAGAGCAAAGATCAGAGTAATATTTTCATTATCGATAGTCCATTTTATAATGTTTATGCTATCTTCAACTTTATTAGTTAAAATTGAAAATAAAAAGAATTAATTAGAGTTTAATTTTTATTGAAAAGTTGAAATATTTGTATTGAAACAAAAGAGAAGATTTAATCATATGTTATTTCACGCCTTATAATGATACTTAATTGATCTCTATCACTAGTTTTCGTTTCTGCACTTTATAACAAAAGAAATCACTTTCTATTCACTTTCGCCGTGCCATACCCATCAAAAATTGATTTTCAGGTGTATAAAAAGGTATTGTTTTTCCAAGTGCAAGTCGTATTTCATCAACTAATCGACACCAGTTTGATGTTAATGTATCAACATGTAAGTCTGCATTAACTTCAATAAATAAATCACTAAGAAATTCTAACATAATTTTTCCACATTGTTCCCTTGTCATGCCAATTAATGATACAAAAACAACATTTCTTTGTACTGTTATATTTAATAATTTATAATAGCCTTGTTTTTCTTTATTTATTTGAACAAACTCATTGAATACTTGTTCATCTTCGGAATTAATATAAATTGTGCTTATATTCGCTCGTCTAGCATCAGCATCAAATAAATCAAAATATTGTTTAAGCGTATATGCTTGAGACATTTCTTTATTTAGGACTTTATCCGATCGACGCACATATACAGCAATATATGGATGATGAAGATCAATTGAAGGTGGTTTAAAATATTGTGCTATGGTATTCTGTGCATGAGCTAATGTTTCAGGTTTATATCGCATTAAATAAAATAATAATTGTACACGATACCAATTAAAAGTTCGATTTTGAAATATAGATGGACGAATGGGTTTCGACCAATAACCAATATTAGTATTGAGTTCAATTGTTTGATTGCCATCGACTTTAGACGGTATTGAACAATTAGTTATGGGAAGAAAAAAACAATCTGGAGTGCCTGAATTACAAGCTCCATATAGCTAAAATATAATCAATTATTAATGATTAATAGCTATTTCTTTAGCAACTTTAAGAATTTTTCTAAGGATCCTCAGTACTCATTTCGATATTAATTAAAAGAAAATAAGAATGATGACTCGTTTTCCTGGACTATATAACTTGATGTAATTTTGATGAGAATATGTTATATGCTATTAATAATTAAGTTCGAAATTTCGAATAATATCAAGAGAAACAAACTTATGATCAATGTAACTCAATAAATAAACTATATTTCCCAGGCTTTGTTTCAATGATATCAATCTATTTTACCCAATTTCCTGGAACTTGATATACAGCAATTCTATTATCAGCTATTGCCGCACCAAATGCCCATGCAATTTGATGAACAGTTGATCCAAATCCGGACAAAGCATAATTGTGAAGAATAGCAAAACGTTTATTCGTACAATCTATTGGATTTTGATGTTCATAAAGCCATTTTTGTGCTTGTAGTGTATTCTGTATTGAGTATTCGTTTGTTGATGAATGATCACATGAGTTAATTTTATCAACATTTGGTCCACCGGAATATTCAACAACACGACATGGTAAAAGATGTGCTAGACGAAAATAATTTTCATCAGCTAAACGCATCGACCAAAGATGTGTAGAATTATATCCATAAAATGGTGATTCTAGCAATTGTTGATTGTTAATAGATAATCTTTGATCTAATTTTATATCGTATGAAGATTGCAAGCGTGTTGTACGTTTTGTTTCATTAAAACTTAAACCAAGAAGATAACCGAATACAAAAATCGACACGAATGAAATCATAGCAAATATAGTTTTATTACTCTTTGTTTGTAGTCGTCTATCAGTTATAAAATATTTCATAGTGAATAATGATTTAAAGATTTATTAAATGGAGAAAATGCTTTATACTCTAATTTCTTCAATATGATGTAACCATTTCATAACTTTTAAGATAATATTTAAAAACTTTGTCTAAGTAAATTTTTATTTACATCAATAACCACATGAATAGCATAATCTGAAAAATATCAACAACATTAGACATTAGCATTGGAAAAAAAACGAATTTTTACAAAGATAAAGTATTTCATGATATGGCTTTAAAAGTTCCGTTCTGCTCATGAAAACACTGTAAAATGTTAATGATTTTATCACAATAATATCATACATGCATAATAAATATAAATAATCAATATTTGAAGTTGTATTAAAGATAAGAAAAACTTATCGAATTGTCACTGATAAAGTAAATGTAACGTCATATATTGTTTTGAATGAGGGCAAACGTTGATATGGATCTATTTTTCGCAGCATTTATAGCATTTTTCAAGCATAAATACGGTTTTATAGAATTAGATTAAGACTTGCGATCCTCTTTTTTTACTCAAACGATCATATTAAAACTAGATTGGACAAAAAAAACTCTATTATCAAAAGAAGATCAGCACTTAGGAGATAGGATGAAACGATGGAAGCGGTCTGAATAAGTAAGACCTGACCGGGTCGAACCAGCTAATTAATCAGTTCGATTGGATTACCCGGCAAAAGATCGATCTAAAATCTGTACAATTTCTATCGTTGATGATATCTATCAAGATCACAATTCTATAGGCGAGACTAAACGTATAATAGCTACGTAGGAACTAACTGAGCTGATTTCGATCGTTCAGTTTCTTAATACGAGCGAGATCTAAAAATTTCGTCCATTTTGCATGCGCTGGAATTCCTAAACACATTATTTTAACTTGCTATTGAGGTTGATGCTAACTTCGTCTCAGCTTGAGTAAACTGATCTACATGTGTACGGCGAAATCAAGCTATAAAACATCTGCCAGTTGCATAAAATAAGCAGTTCAGAAACACAAATCACCATATTTTCTCATTTATGAACTTAAAATCAAAATTCAAAACCTGTTAGACTCAATTTCAGTTGTTTTTAATTAAAACTAACGAAAATAAAAAAAACATTCTTGAATCTCCAATTTTCATTATTTTAAATTAAAAAAAAATATTAGCATCAATTTTAAGAAAACTTATTTTGTGACGTATATTATTTTGCAAAATATTAACCGAATATTTCAAACTTTCACTTTATAAATTTTTAAAAATTCATTGATAAGAATTTTAATAAAACATTTATCTTCAGTTTTACTATTAGCAAACTGCAATTTATACTTTGCTGTTCGCAATTGTTACTATCAATGTCATGATATTTTCTTGAATTTAAACACATCATCTAATTGTCATTAAAAAATGAAATCAAGCATTGAATGGGCACAAACAAGTCCACACTGTAAAAAAGAACCATAGAATAATAAACTTTTAAATGGTTTGTGCAAGTGCAACATATCAAAAACCCTTTTTTTTTATACCGTTTATATGAAAATTTTTATGATCTTCAAATGCCACTCATGAAAAACTTATGAAAGAGTTTATTATATTCACAAATCCTTAAAGGGTTTGCTACACATTGCATTTTCATAAGCCCTCCGTAGGAGTACTTGAACATGCTAAACGCTTTCAAATAACCTTTAAACCGATTAACAAAAGAGTATCAGAGAGAGTTCATTAGAATCAATAAATGCGCCAACAATTTATGACAAGGTCACTAAAAGGGATCATGATCGTCATGAAGTATGCCAAGGGCATCTGAAACGGTACACTAAAAAATTGTATCATATGGAGCTTGAAAAACGTTTCGAATTTCCAACGGTATTGAAACCATTTTTTAGTTTTGTAAAAATAAGATTTCGTACAAAACCATCATCAATCGGTTTCAAAAATGGTTTTGTTGTCAAATTTTGTTTGGATTTCGATGTAATTCCACTAAACCTATACCAATCCATCCGACTATATCCATACTACTACATTTATAACTGTCATCTTATATATGCACCTGTTCCCCTAAATTTTTCTCCACTAATTTACATCTACCCTCTTAACCTAACTCTTCAATCTATATATATCATCTTAATCTAATCCGTTAATGGAACTGCTCAGATTACCCCTTAATCTATACCCTTAGTCTATCCCTGCAGATCTGTACCTATCCATGTATATCTATATCGATGTCCCCTGTGCGCATCCCGAGATCTCTTAGAATGGAGTGGATTACTGACATTAATATGATATTTAGAATTTACTGATCACTTAATCACTAATATTTATAATAGGTGGGTGACTGGCACTACGTTATTCGTTAATATTAACGGTGAAAAAGTCACTTACTATTATATTGATTGTAAGTTTTTTCTCTTAACATACAATTTATTTAAAATTACGTGAATTAGTATTTTGCGTTTGAGAAACACTATTCCAATCAATTTTTCTCTGTCAGAAAAGATTTTTTGGGAAAATTACATTGTTTTTTTTTAAACTTAAGCAAGAGCACTAAAATTTGACGTTGTGAAGTCTGACAAAACGCAACTACGAGATTTCGAAAAATCACATAGAGATGTGGACTCTTCAATTTCGAAAACCTTTAGTCAAGTTTGATTTCAAAAATCATTATTTTCACAAAATAGACCCTCTCTGGCCAAGAAACCTTGAATGGAAGAGTATTACCCTCATGTCAACCACTTATTTTCTTAATTTTAAGTAAATTATTTATTAACAGAAATAATTTAAAATCAACTGGTAATACCCCTCTCCTCATGATTAATTTTCAATTAAGTACATTCAAATCACGTGAAATTTTTAGGATACTTTTGGACTGTAATGGAGAAGTTTTGCTAAAATTTCCAGTCCCGTAATATGAGGTTGTCGGGAGTAGTACCCGGTGTGTCCAAAATTCATTGTGGATGATCCCTGTAGAAAAACGACTGCAGCTTACAGATACAGGATATGTGGCTATTTTAGTGCCTGGGTCTATTCGTGACCATGTTCTAGTCATAGTCACGGCCGTGGCCGTGACTACTGGTAGTTCTGGTGGTCACGCTGAGCATTAGTCTGGAGATACCTAATGAAAAAAGATTCAATAGAAAATCAAGATTACTTTTGATTATCGGTGTCAAAATCCCACTTTTCTCGACGAACCACCGAATTTTTGCAGAAAATCCAATTGACATTGGTTAAAATCAATAAATCAGATGAAGAAATAATCTACTGAATCCATAATTCTTGATTATCTCGTCTCTAGCCAGATTTTCAGCGACAATCGATTTTGGTCTCTTTAATTAATTACAAACTACATTGATGAAAATTGAATTGATGGATTTTTCATCGGTTACTAACGATTACTGTTGGCTTAATCCGATTTTCATCAATAATAGATTATAATCTTTTTAATCAGTTAAAACCTATATCGATGAAAATCGAATTGATGGATTTTTCATTGATTATTTACGATTGTCTCAACTGCAATGAGATATTCATCAGTAATCGATTTTAATCATTTTAATAGATTGAAATCTGAAACAAAGAAAATTGAATTGATAGATTTTTTATTGATTAATTATGATTATCTTGATTGCAATTCGATTGTTATCGACAATCGTTTTTATTTTGTTCAATCGATGAAAATCTCAATAAAAAACAATCTGATTCAGGGATTTTCATTTAATAATCAACCAATGTTATGGTAGTAATTTGATTTCAATCGTTAATTGATTTCAATCTGTTCAACCGCTTTAAATTTGAATAAACACAACATCCATTCTGGGATTTACATTTGATTATCAGTGATTCTGAGGGTGGTAATTTGATTTTAATCGCTAATTGATTCTAATCTCTTTAATTGATTTTCAAAGTGTTGGAGAATATCAGTAAGTTCTATACAGAACCCGATGATTTGGATTGATACGAGGCTAACTGGGCAGAATGTCTATTGCTCTCAATACTACGATAGATAAGAATGTCATGTCATAATTATTAGGACAAAAGTTCTAGAACACACACGATATATATAATGATGAACAATATTAGGGCCTTTTCTAAAACATAGTTTAGATTAAAAATTCAGCTACAATTACTCTTTCTCAACAACGTGTTCATCCGAAACATGAATCATGTTTTATTGATTCCAGAAAGTATTAATGAAATGAAACTGATTATCTTCGTAAATAGGAGACACATGAGATAAGTGAACTGTGAGGGTACGAACTACAAAAACTATTTTATATACACAGAAGTATTACATAGAAAAAGATAAAATTATGCATGCAGTTTATTAAAATTGATTAAATTTTTTTTTTAATTTAAATTCGTTTCTTAATTTTTAATCGATTTTGGATGTAATTGCACTATCTCAATTTGAAACAATTTATGTAGTAGTTTCAAATTTACTACCTTTGCTGGAGTTTAGCCTAGTGACAACTTCGTAGTGTGTGAACACGAGCAATCCAGAAAACCCATGAAAAATTTGGATACCAAATTCAAATCTCGAGAAAAGCGCATATGTTCGGTGTGTATGATTCAAATTGATTAACGGGTAATAATCAATTGAAGCTAAACTAACAGGTAATAAAAATGAATAGGTACTACGAGATTGAAGCAGACTAATAGGTAATAATAATAGATCGAAGTAAATTAACAGGTAACAGTTCAGTGATAAATTCGACAGATGAAAATCGATTAAAACTTCAGAATTCTCTGGGAATAATCGAAATTGATCATCAAATTTTGCGAAACAAAATCAAAACTTTAATCAATTATAATCAAAAATTTAAATCGGATAATTGTGCAACAAAATCAAAATTATAATCAATACCAACCGATTATTAGAACCTTCTAATCAATTGACATCGATTGTAATTTTAATTTTAATCGGTTAAAATCTTTATTTTGTTTCACAAAAGTCGGATTTCAATAATCTAAAATACTTCCCACAAATTTGGGGTTTCTTAACCATTTTTGGGTAGCTTTTTTTATGTCAAAGTTGTCATCCAAATCCTTTTCAAAAGAAGTAAGAAAAAAGGCTATTCCAGGCACTGAATTCTATCATGCTCTTTCGAACAAAAACAACTATATCTATAGAATAAAAGTCCGAAGAGAATTTCGCAAGGCTAAATGAGCTATTTTTGAGCTTTGCTTAATACATGTCTTCCGAAAACCTCATAGTATAGAACTGAATATATCAGTATAGTTTTTCCACTAGTAGCAGTGGACAGTTGGATTGATCGATGCGGACATTGTTCCCGTTTATGCAGTAATGGTTCACTCCACATAAAGTCACACATAATAGGAGAAATGAAGAAAGAGAATATAAAAACATATCTATTACCCTTTATTTTCTAAAAAGAAATACTTCAGCGAGAAGAAATAGAACGAAACTATATAAATTTTTATCTGCCAATCACTATTTCGTGCACCATATTTAATTTTTGACTTCTGCTGATGAAGGTAAGGATGGATGAAAAATTTCTACCACAAATATGTACATATCTGCTNAATTTCGAATTAAATTTATATGCGTCTACAATTATGAATTTAATACATCAATCAGATTTGAGAAATGACCACTATAATGTAGTCGAAGTGCATAATTATAGCACGTGTTCACGGAAAAAAAAGTCGCTTCTGTCATTCTCTTCAATCTCTACAGTTTATCATATTGAAAAGATCTATCTGTCGATGATATACAGCAATTTTATTAAGGCACATTCACCGTGTTAATTAATTAGCGGATCAAGTTCTTTTGTGATTGGTGCATTAAATTTAATTCGTGTTCGAAAAGTGCATTAAATCTTAAATCTTGATTAACTTTTCAATCAACCATATTTCTTAATTTAGCATTAACTTTTGTGATGTAGACAAGACGCCTAAAGATGACTAACTTACATGCAACATGCTTGTATATGTAAATAAATTCTAGCCAATAGGAAAACAAACAATAGAATCTAATTTTATTTTCATTGAAAACTATGAATTCTCTTTTAGGTGTAATAATTATTATTCAAATATAATTAAAATATTTAATAATAATTAAAATTTGACAAATAAAAAGAAACATTCAATTATTCAATCATATTGGACATTGCTTAGCAACTGACATTTGCAAGATGTCTAGTATATTTTATCAAAAGAACAAGGAATACTTACTTAATAGATTCTTTTTAGTATTTTTTTGTTTTAAACCATGACGAAAAAATTCTCTTCTGAATCAGCGGATTGGATTCCTGAATCATATCCAACAACATTTTCATCAACAATGCCAAATTTTGAAGAAACTCCACCATATCGTGTCAATCGTGAAGGTGTACAAAATTATGTTAAAAATCGTGGAAGTTTAAATATTGGTGATTGGGCTATTGAAGGTCGAAGAATGTCAACAACGACATTACCAATAAATCAAGAATCAAGTTTACCACAACCGAAAGTTTTAGGACCTGATGCTTTACGAAATTATACAAAAAGTCGTTGTTCAACACCAAATCTTATTCAGGGAAATTTTCAACCACCTGATTCTAATTATGGTATGCGTGTTAGAAAAGAAGGTCGTGCTAATTATGAAAAAAATCATAATACAGAAATGAAAACATTATTAGAAAATTATGGGAAATTATCTTTACCAATACCACCTGTACCTCATATACAAGGCGAGGTAAAATTTATCAAAGGAATTAGCACTTATACCGTTCCTCTGCATGCAAATTTTTGTTTTTCTTTTAACTATTTTTTTATCGTTGTGAATATTCTGAAGATATGAAATCACCACACCCAAACTTGGACGTTTTTAGTCTTAGCAAAAAAAAAAGAAAATCAGTATTTTACGAAAAGAATCACTTTCAACAAATATTGACCCTTCTATTATATTATGACCTACATCATCTATAGTTGCATGCATAATAGCCAAATCTTTACTACATATAAAATTGTAGATCCTCTTTAAAAAAATAATAAAACCATTATAAACAATTACTTTATTAACGAGTACTACTTATAAGACTACTCAACGGGTACAATTTTTCGTGAAAGTACCCAGATATGAGTACTCGGCCTGTGGATTGCATCACTATGACACATCGTTGATAGTTTAACAGAACGATCAATCAACTATTGAATCAAGAATATCGTTATGAAACAGCAACATTAAAAACATCTTTGCAAATTTTTTTCGCATGGTACTGTCAAAAATGAGGTTTTTGTCTTCATATATAGTTGATTTTTACACTCATACGTGATACAAGTACCCGATCCATGGATTGCATTACTCTACTGTCTGCCATAAAAAAATACTCAGTTACACACTTATCCTTTATTATGTCAGAAAGATTGTTTAACCTATAACTTCACAATGATTTGCTGTTAAAATGTGAAGTTTTTAAGAGCAACATAGTGTCATGTAGTCTATAAAAATAATAAAGAAAGATGATCGTACCTCTAACTATGGTTCGAATGTCTGAAGAGATATGGTCTATTTGGTAATCAAGAATTCGCAAAATATGATTAAAGAAAATGACATACATATTTATTTCTAATCAATTTCTTTTGTTTCATGATGTTTTATATCGCGGATGCTCTATTGTGATATCAAAACTTGTGACTCAAACCTTAGAATTTTCAGTGTTAACCAAAAAAATCACTTTTTTAGAACAGGCCACTTTCATGTAAAATAACGAAAAAAAACAGCTAGTATTTCTAGATTTTGATTATCAAAAATTGTTTTTTTTTTTTTTTATTAGAAATAAGTATGATTTTTAGAGTTAGCATGCAAAAATACATAAAAAACTCTATATTTCGTTGCAAAATATTTCAGATTAGAACTTTTGTTCTGCTTTCACTCAGCTTTTTATTCGTAAAATCTTAGGCTGTATCTCCCTATAGTTAAAACTTGATTGGAAGTGTTTTCCCATGAAAGATAGAATTTTCAGTGTCTTTTGGCATACGGACTCCGAAAGTCATGCTTCTTTTCAATAAAAATCCTTTTTTTTTTGCTAATCAAACTCAAGACATAGTATCCGTTGTGAGGGAACTTTACGTAGAAATAACCCTTTTCTAGATATAATGATTTTTTCCCCAATACTAGAAATATCTAATGTTTGGTTATTTTTATCTCATATCGTCACACCACTTACAACCGAAAAGGAACAATTAACGGGAGTATAATCCATGAAGAAGAAGCACCCATTTCTTTCAATAAAAACTTTTCCATTGATTTGTGTATTTTTTTGTCATAGCTAGCAACAAATCTTTTTTATTCACATCAAGAAGGTCAAATGGGTCCAATATTAAATAATTATGGTCGTACTTCAGCTACACCAAGACCAGTGCCTCATGTGAAAGGTTTTGATGCTGAAGTTAATCTTCAAAAAGGTCTTGGTGATTCTCAATTACTTCAACATGGTATTGATCGGTATATACCGACTCCAGAACCGCATGTCAAAGGTGATCAAGCTTATTCAAATTATGATAATGGTCAAGGTCATCATGTTAATACTCTCTTTCATCAATATGGTAAATTACAACAATCAGCTCGAGCACCACCTAAAGTTAAATATGATGGCATTGAAAATTTACGAAAAGGCCAAGGTGATGATATGCGAAAAACACTTTCACAATGTCCACCAACAAATCGTCATATGGAACGTCCACAATCAGCATCATACTGGTCATAATTATATTTCTTAGTGTATTTTATGTCGTAATTAATTTGAAAATTTTCTTCTTGTTGTTGTTGTTGTTTTTAAAAGAAAAAAAAAAGAATAAATCGATCGATTTTATGATCATAAAGATTATAAATTGATATGTTCTTTTTTTCTCATCATTGTAGACATGCAAAAACAAGACCGTTTCGAACGCTATACACCACAATATCCTTTACCTGTTGATATAACAAATATGTCTCGACAAGATACGGTCTGTCAATTTTGTGGTGTTTCTTATTTAATTCATAATGAAATAAAAGCACTTGAAACAAAATGTCAAAAACTTGAAGCTGATTTAGCTTATTATGCTGGTATAAGTTCACGTGAAAGTGCTTTAGAACAAACATTACAAAGTGAACGAGCACGTATGTCTGATCTTGAATCAAATCTTGCGATTAGTACTCACAAGTAGATTTATAAATTAGTATTAACTTACAGAAAATAGATTTTATTTTCATAGACTCAATGAAATGATAAGAAAACTTCAATTAGTACAAGATCAATTAGAACAATCAATAAATGCTCATCAAGAAACGAAGTAGATATTTTTTTTATTTGAATAATATATTTATTTGATTTTTGGTTTTTTTTTCTTTTTTTTGAAGAAATTCGTTTTCAAAATATTCATCAAAGCTACGATTTACACGTAATCAAATAGAAAATATTCGAAAAGAATATTTGATTTTACAAGATTTCTATTCAAATGATATTCAAAATCGGAATATGCATTTACAAACTGCTGAAAATACATTACAAAAAGGTAATGATTTTTGAATTATTAAAATTTCTAATTTGAATTTATCTGTTATATAGAAATTCGAATAATAATCGATAAATATACAAAACAAATTGATAATTATCAAATAGAAATTGAACAATATCAACAACAACTCAAGTATGAAAAAGAATTTTTTTTCTAAGCTTCAAATTGCAGTCCATCAGATCTAAAATATTCGAAACCGAAGTCGGACTCGGTCGAACCATACTCTGATATCCTCAATGAAACTTTCTAATTCAGATTGGACAGTCGCTCACGAGATGCTTTTTGCAGATTTTTTGTGTTCAATGAATAGTGCACCCTACACATTTTTCAGACAACTCGCTTCCATCGAAGTCAACATTTTCAAGCTCGAACGAGTTTATGTCCAAGACCAATGTGACGGATTCTATTTCAAATAGATATCAGGCTGATTTAGTTCATACTTAATCTGACATCATCTTTTTCATTATAGAATCGTAAAAGGAAGCATGAAATCAGTCAAATTTCCAAATCGAGTAAGAATGATAAATAGAGCGTTGAATAAATTACTACTTACGTGTATTGATCAACTAGAGAATGAATAAATAATTTAAATGAGAACAAGAGATTTTCCACTTTTCATGCAATATATGCTTTGTTCGTAGACGAGCGTTATATCTCATTCATATCGATTCCGTAGCGATATACTCTTGGAAAAATTCTTTTCGGTGTTGCTGTTTAACAAAAAGTGTTTAGATCCAGAGGATTACTGCTTCTAACTTTGTTTGATAGTCTAAAATAAATCATCTAATGTATCATTTACTTTATTTCTAGCGAAAAAAATCAATCTTTTCGAGATCTTCAAATAAAATATCAACAATCTCAACTTCAATCAAATGAATCACATACGATGTAAAAATATTCTTCTTCATTATTTTTAATCATATCTATTTGTTTTTAAATCTAGAACTGAAAATGATTTAGAAGCAGCTCGAGAAGAAATTGAAATTCAAAAAAATGAACTATCATATTTACGTGAACAAATATCACAATTTGAACAAACTAAAATACAATTACAAAATGATTTAGAACAAACAAAACAATATATTCAACAATTAGAAAAACAACTATCTGATAAAGATCAATCAAAAAAGAATAGTGATTTAATTATTGATCAATATCGACAACAACTTACAAATGAAAAAGAACTTCGATTAAGTAAATATATTGTCTTTATTCATTTAAATTTATCTATTTCTTTTTTGTTTCTTTGTTATAGAAGCTAATACAGAACTAGAAAATATTCGATCAAAATTTCTTCAATTAACAGATGACTATGAACAATTGAATATAATGAAAAAAGATTTTGAAACAAATGAATTAAATACTCGACGAAAAATCGATGAAATTAATCGATCACGTCAAGCTGTTCTTGATCGTACACGTGATGAATATGAAAAACTATTAAGAAAATATACTGATCTTGATGAAGTCTATCATGAACTTGTTAATTTACGAGACAAAGATAGTTGTAAGAAATAAAATATATTCATTATAATTATCTTATTTCTTTTCTTAATACAGTAGAATCAAAAACAATACGTTCTGAACTTGAACGTTTACATAATGAAAATATTGAATTAAAAAAACAACGAGAAACACTTAATATTACACATGATATACAAATGAAAAAACTTCATGATACTTATTCAATTAAATTACGTGAAGCTGAACAATGGCCTGATCGTCTTCAAACTGAATTAAGTCGTGAACGTGAACATCATCGAATACAAATTCATGAACTTGAACAAAGTCTAAAAGAAAACTTTTTAACTGTAGGTATTATTTGATTCATTTAAAAATAATATTTACATGTACTTTAGGAATTAAATATTGAAAAACAAAAATATACTGGTCTTTTACGTAAATATGAACATGATTCTGGTTATTCAACAGAACAACTTCGTCATGAATTACTTTCAACAGAAAAAGTAACAATTGAACAACGACACTATTATGCAAAACAAATCGAACAACTTGAAAAAGATAAAATTGATTTAAAAAAAGAATTAGATACATTAAGAGATGTTCTTAAAGAATTACATGAACAAATGAGTAAGTACAACATTTTTTTAAAAATATATTCAAATTTCGTTGTCTTTTAGATAATCAAGAATCAATGAGTAATGACCGAGTAAATAATCTAAAAATAAAAGAAGATTTATTAGCGAAAGAAACAAGTTTATTTCAAGCACAATCGACTATCAATGAATTACACAAATGTTTAGAACAAACACGAGAAGAAGTATTTTATTTCTTATTCTAGAGTTCATTTTTTGTTTAAAAAGTTTTCTTTACAAGATGTTTCGTCAATTTTCGACTATTTATAAGTTTTTAGGATTAATCAATAGTCATCAGTTTATATCATAAGGTTTCTAATGTCTAAAGTTCGTTAAATTTGAGTAATATATGCAAATAAATCAAATATGTTGTTTGTATCGACTAAATCAGACTTTTTGTTGTTATTAATTACTTCTCGGAATTCTATTATGTGATAATTTTGACTGTCTTTTATTCGAGAGAATTTTATTTCTCACAAACTTATGAATTATACTAGCGAGAAAACATTCAAAATTATTATCTCATGTAAAAACAGATGAAAACTTCATCATTNTCTGTTGTCTATGAGACGAGGAAAAAAATATAAAATAAACATGCAGATATATATTTATTACTTCTCGATTGGAATACATTATCATTGTCTGATATAATATTTAAAAAAACTCATCATATAAAAAGTTGGTTTAATATTTTTTAAGAAAATGAATTGAGAACTTTGTAATTTCAATCTATAAACAAATTTTCAAAATAAATGAAAATAAAAGCGTAAAGAGGAATTCTCAATTGATGATCTATTGATCATTCGATTGCTATCGTCTAATAATGAGTAGACAATCGTGAATCTCCTACATTGTTAAATATTATTTTCGAGATAGTTGACTACATATGCTACTTTCAATTCAATAAATCTATCTGTTAGTGAAGGTTGCCTAAATTGATTTGAACTTGATATAAAATTGATTAAGAAGAGAATAGCAGACTTATTTAAGGTTTATCATTTAGATTTTTATACTTATATATGTTGTGTAGATGATTGCTTTTACTCGACTATAATTTATTACGAGGAAATAGCGTACCTAAAGTAGAAAAGTACGTCAAATTATAAAAGTAGCTCAAACTATGTAGACGTAGTTCCAAGTACATTGAGTTATGTTTAAAGTATGTAAAAGTACATCGAAGTATTTCAGTATTTAAAACTTAGAAGTAGTTTGCAGCTACTTGAAGTAGCTAAAAGTAGTTTTATATCGCTTAAAATATATCAAAGTAGCCAAGAGTAACTTCAATTATCTTACAGTACCATGAAGTACTTAAAAGTAACCTGAAAGTAGATGAATCAAATTATCTTCAAGTACAAAAGTACACTATCTCTCCCTTATGACTTGCACTATTTTGGATTATCTCTATCGAATTATGCTCTTATACGTATTCAAGAAAACAAAGATACACACAAAACATTTTTTTTTACTTAAGATCATTTTTGGTACATTGTTGCATTCCAGGTGAAACGTATAACTCTATTTCATATGTAATTCAATAGAGAATTAAATAGGAAAAAAACTATATGAACACATATGATCAAAGAATATAGCATAAGAATATTGGATAGATAAATTTCTACTCATACTAGAAAGTGTTCTACGTAAGAAACGTTGGTACATCTCAAGATCACTAGAATACTATTTGTTTAATAAGTTTAGTTTTCCTTTTGTGTTACATTGTTGGGTTGCATGTTTCTAACAAAAAAAAATTTCATATCTATTCGTTAAGTAGATATTCTAATTATTATCTTACATTTCAATTATAGCGTTCACTGTTTATTTTATTTTTAATATAAAAATTAAATAATTTTTTTCGGCTCACTAAGTTTTGGAAAAAAAAGCACGTGCTTGTTAAGATGATAGTGTGCACAAATATAATAATAATTTCGAAATAAAAACAAGAAAATCAACGAGAACCGGACAAGCAATCAGAGAAAGCATAATAATAACATAGGCACATATACACAGACACAAGCAATTGAGTCAAAATTTGATCAAGAGAAAAACAAAATGCACACTGATTACATGATAAAAGAAAAAAAACGTATTATTTTCAATTATAAGCAATAAAAAACAGAATTAAATCTGACACACGGAATTAATAATAATAATTGCCAAATAAATAATAAGGAATGTATTTCTTTCTTCACATCTAATTATTTTTAGTAACATTTTTAGTTAGAGATTTTTTTTCAGCTGTTAATACAATTAATTTTCCATCTTTAACACCAACAAGTAAATGACTAAAATCTTTTGTAAAATAAAGACAATTGATATGTGTACGAAGACGAATCGTTTGAATTGTTTTCATTCTTTACATAAAAAAGATATTCAAATATAATTCAATTGTAATTCTGATAAAGATATAAGTCTAATGTATTTTTTATTTTTCTACAACATCAAGCATTTAACTCAAATTCAAATGGCAGTTTAAATAGTAAATAAAGTTGTCTATCAAACGTATTCCATATAGAAATTTCATCGATGAACTGTGAAAGGGAAGATTTTCGAAAAACCAAATAAGGTAGTTTTCAAATCGTAGACAGCTATGTGAAAATTCGTTCTTAAGAGTACTACTTTAAGAAGCACAATATTTTGAATAAAATGAGAAGTTATCGCATTTTTTATAATCGTCTCTTAAAAAGTTACAGGCACTATACAAAATGCGTTGCTAAGAAGTGCCATTATAAGTTTTGCTTTTGTTCATTTTTTTGTGAAGTTTATAACTTTTCAAAGGAACGTCGTCAGAAATGTGGCAACTCTTCATTTTATTCAAAATTTGGTGCTTTTTAAGACGGTACTCTTGAAAACTAATTTTCACATAGTTTTCTAGGGCTTGAAAACTACCGTGTTTGATTTTTAAAAACCTTCTTCTCATAGTCCGTCTATGAAATTTCAGTATGAAATATATTTGATAGAGAACTTCATTGATTATTCAACTCACTATTTGGATTTGAGTTAAGACCTACGCACCGTCAAATATCGATCTTGAGCCAGGTATATTCAAATCCTATGAAATTTTCAGCATATGTTAAAGCTATTGTGGAGAGGTTATGCTAAATTTTTTAGTCGTATATCCTGACGTCTTCGTGGGATATTTAACAAAAAAGGGTCAAAAAGAATTATTTTTTCTAGTCAAATCTCTCTGTGGAACTTCATTGTATACACTTAATGTTTTATATGTGAATGAGCACGTCAAAATCAGAACATAACAGAGCTCTGTTTTTTTTTTCAAATTCTTTCTTTTCAAGAGAAGAAAAGTTCAGTATCTTAAAAAATGGTGTTCTAATTATAAAATAAAAAAGAAACGGGCTCTCTCATGCCCTGCATGTTTTATATGGTTTTTCTAGCAAAAAACAAGCCATTGGGTGCAATGAAGCTCTTTTGAAGATTCTAGGATGTTCGATCAAAAAACAAAACATGCCAAGAAAAGGCAAAAAATGATGCCATTAATGAAATATCAAACCTGCGACTATCTTTTCCAAGCGTTTATCTTAATTTTCATGTTTTTTGACGAAAATGCTCCGTTTTTGATGAGGTGAAACTCGGATGCATGGTACAGTGAAAAAACTCAAAAGTACTTTGGACTTATATTTTTCATCAGTATTTTATCTAAAAAAAGGAATAAACAAACTTACTCAAACATATCTTTAATAATAATTCTTGCAACTATTAAACTTGTTGATTCTTTATTCGTTGCTGTATTTGTTTGTTGTAATGATGGTTCATGATTAACAGCAAGTACAATATGTTGATCACTTAAAAGCATATCAACAATTTTATATTCTAATTTTCTTGTTCGAATTAAAACACCATTTATTGAATATAAAAATAAATGTGTGTCATCTTTTTCTGTTTGAATAAGTATATGTCGTTCATTTGATATTTGTAAATTAATAATAGGATCACCAATTAGTTGTAATGTTCGTATATAAATTCCATGTTCAACTGTATGAATATTACAAGTACCATCTAATGAACCCGATACAACAAGATCAAGTTCAGTTGATACACAAATACATGTTACTTCTGATGTATGACCATAAAGTGTAATATCAGGTGAAAGAAATGAACTAGATTCTTGATCATTTGGATTATTTAAATGATGATTGTCATTTAAAGATATATTCCAAATAACACAAGTTGTATCACGTGAACCAGTTACAAGAATATATCCAGTTGAATCAAGTGTTAAACATGTTATTATATCAGTATGATGGATTAATGAACTTATTATTTTAGATTTAACTAAAGAATAAACACGTAATGACCAATCCCAATGACCACCACTGAAAACAAATTTTGCATCGTGAGAAACGGCGAATAAATGATAATTTATTTCTAATGATGAAGAAAATGGAGCAGCGATGATATGTCGATTACTAAAAATAAAAATAAAACATAAGAACTAATATTAATATCAACAGATGTTTTTTTTATGAATACATCGAGATCTGTGGGTTTTGGCATTCGAAAGAAAAATATAGATCAACTTAGTTATTCAATTGATAAAATACATGAACCTTTTGCTGTAAAATTCTGATACTCAAATATAATAAATTAATAGAGAAGAATGTTCTGTGTAATTACTAACTGTTGATTAGTCTAAATTGATGAAAGAATTTTTCCGAAGCATCGAATTTGTACGCAAAGTTACGATAGTTTTGCTGAATTTTGATTAGAACACAGAGTATTGATACGAACATAGAACGAAGGAATTTGACTACTAGTTTCATATAAAAGTGCAGATCTTATTATCCTAAGGATATTCTGAAAGTTTGAGTCAAAATAATTGATTCCTTTTTGAAATATTTAATATTCAAGTAACGATTAGATCTGAAAAAAAAGACAGAAAAATTGGCAGTTTTTAGAATATTGAATATCTCAAGAAGGAAAAAATCGTTTAGAGTAAAACTTTTAGGACATTCTCAATCTCATGAGATTTACTTATAGATAGAAGAGATCATACGATAAAATTCTTTGTTTATTTTCCTGTCAATAGGAATAATCGACTAAAATTTTCATTATTCTGTTGATAAGGTTTATGAGCTTGAACTCGCTATTTAAGTTTATTTTAGTCTAGAGATTCTTCCGATAAGACCAAAATAAGGACTTTTAAATAGTAAAGCTTTCCATATGATTTTTCGACCACTCAAAAACTCCAAACATGATACAATATGAAATAATTAGTATTAATTAGATATGTATCATACTCAAGAGTCTTGGATATTAAATTTAATAATTAGTCTGATAATGAACTACACTATTAAGTTTGAAGTCTTATATTGGATATCAGTTCTTTGACAGATTCTTCAATTGAAAAGTTTTTTGTTAATTCCGATACTAGCATATATTTATTAGTAGTCAGTTATTGAAGGGGAAAAAAAGATGATCCCGAGCCATTAAAATCATACGAAATCAATAAAAGCATTTGAAATTAGTTGTTCTTCTTTGTGTAATTCCCTTAAGACATTTCAAATCACTATTTGCTTTCGTTTGAGTGATACAGAAAATGCTTCTATATAATCATAATAGTCAATGTTGGTGCCGGAATGTTACTGCTACGTTACTCGTTACTCATTATCAGTATTTTGTATTTACAGTAGTGGAGAAAGTCTTCGCTGAAATATCGTTGCCTGAGAAAATGTCTCTCCTAGCAGATCAAATTTCGTCAAAGAGTTTTTTCTTATTCATTCATCATTTAGTATGGCACTGCTTTAGTAAATCGGATCTGATCATGATTTTCTCTGAGTTGGCAAAGACGACATCACGCTGCCTCTTGATTGATTAAGAGAGGCATACGATGAGGATTTCTTGACTCGAAGAATTTTCAGTGACAATTTTTTTAAATTGCTTATTTTTGTGAAATTAAATTTCCTGAACCAGATAATTTTCTTTACAATTTTTTTTTCTTGCTCGTTATCTGATGACTTAATAGTAACTTCATTTCTCTTTTGCTGTGGCGAGAATCTTTTGAATCACTCGGAATCAGCTGTTTCTTTCTTGTAGTTATCACAGACAATACTCTTCTCTCTCAATTGACTACGTTAGAATTTCGAAATCTAGCTCGTTTGTTTGACTAATTCATAATCTTTCAGAGAATAAAATTGACAGATTTTTTAAAATACTCATAATATTTCTATGACAATTCTATGAATAATGTTTACCGTTCAGTTTGTAATGTTGGATCTCGTTCAAATGTAAAAAAATTACTTAAAGATTTATCATATGGTTGCCAACCTACATTATATTCATAAATAGAAAAATGAAATAGCATTTTTTTGTGCAATAGAATAAACAAACCATTATTTCCAACAACACCACTAACACTAACAGTTATAAGTGTATCTGGAATTCCTTGTTGCATAAATGATCGAACTTGATTTTTTGGTATAGAAATAAATGTTATTGGATCACATAATTTATCATCTGCTGGTGTTATTTCAACAAAAAAAGCTCGTATATGTGTTAAATTTTGAAATATATTTAATGCACGTCCTTGTGATTCAATTTCGAATGCTGCTTGCTCATGTGTTTGTCGTTGTGGATGAGGTTCAATTAAAAGTTGAGATGGAATCTGTCCAAAATTTTGTATCATACCTTCAATTGCCTCACGTGTTATTGGATCATCGATAGCATCAACATCTACAGCTTTTTCATATGAACAATACATAAATACATTAAGTGCATCAATAGCAGCTTGACCTGTTTGTTTATAACCAAATATAAGATCAATCCATTCATGTAAATGAGATGATACATAATCAGATTCAAGTGCTAAACGATGAATACGAATAAATTCTTCAGGTGAATTATGAGCCCATGGTGGTAGCTGAACATCATTTAATACTTGATTACTTATTTGAAGTTTACCTAAATCGAATTTATTTGAATTAATAAGAAATTCTGGTAAATAGAAAAATTCCGGAATTAATTCTTTAACTTCATTTGGAGAATCCATTATATTTAACCATGCCGATTGAAATGAATGAAATTGACGATCTGCTATATCAAATCTAAATAATATTTAATTAAATATTTATATTAAACAACAAACAAAACATGGATGACATACTTTCCACTTTGTAATTGAATATGTAATGTAGCAAAAGGTTCCATTCGAATAAGATAATGCATAACACTTGCAGCATTTGAATAATGTGTACCATAATGGAATTTTTTCATTAAACCAGTTGGATCATCGAATGATTCATATCTATATAAAGAAATTATATAATGTTTTTTGTTCATCTTATATTAAAACTATCGAAATCACGAAGATTTAAGAAAAGAATTTTCTTATTCCCACATCACACAAGTATAGAATATATCTTATAAAAATAAGAGAAAGAGAAGTAAAAATGAGAAACTAATCAGTATCTATAGGTTTCACCAGAAGGCAAATTATTTTTTGATACATATTTCATTAATCAAGCATTGTTAGTTAGTGGCTATATTAGATGTGAGAACGTAGTATGTTGTCGGTTGAACAATTTGAGAAACATAGACGTAAGAAAATATGCTCATGACTTTAGCACAACTTCCTGGATCTGGAGATAAATAATGTAGAGGAGATTTTTCCAATTCATCATGTCAGAAAAAAAATTAGAAGGTAGTTACTTGATGTTTAAACTTCACGTGAAAAAGCATTTTCTCAAACCTAAAGTTCAATTCATATTCTCGAATATCGTTTATTGTAATGACTATTTCAGCAATAAAGAATGTTCTGTTTAGTTCGGAAAAGATTTAGTTTCAAGCTAATGCATCATTAGTAGTTTTAAAACTCTGTACTGTATAATTATTGCAGTAGAATGATGATAGTGTATCATTTACTGGTAAAAAATTAATTAAAGATTGTAATCAAACACATAAAAACTCCAAACTAGAAAAATATCAAAATTCGGAAAAAATATCAACATTCAGAATTTTCCTGAATTATTCGGAAAACGTGACAAATCTGAAACCGACATTGTTTTTGCTTAATTTAGACTTCTTTAACATAATGATGATTAATGCTATTAACAAATTGATTATGACCATAGGTTTTTAATGTATTCATCTATTTCCCTGTTAGAGTTTTGGATCTGTGAAGATGAACTCATGATTGATCATTACTATTGCATTTGTAAATATAACTGCCTTCGGCAACATTCAATAGTATAGTAGTAACCAAAAGTTGAAGATTCTCGTTAAGATAAGGTGAGACTTTCAAAACCTCTCTGGTTTTCACAATCTTGAAATATGTAATTTCCTTATAACGTTTTATGTCTCTTTCAAAAGTGAATATTAAGAATGAAATGAAAAATAAACTAACTAACTTTAATCTGACATCTTCAATATGTTTTGCATTTTGTATACCAATTGGTTTAGAAAAATCTCTAAAAATATTTGGATCATTAATATCTAATACTTCCGAAATATAATCTTTTAATATCCAAGGAAAAATAGGATATTGATTAAGATCATTGTATGTTCGTCCTGCAATTGTATTCAACATCATTAAATAATCAAAATTTGATACTTCTCTTGTAACCCATTTTTCAGTGAATTTTGATTCTTTTAAAATTTCTTGTGGTGTTATTTTTATTGATAAATTTGAATAAACACTTTTCATTCCAGATAATTTTAATGACACGATTTTTTGATAAATTTGTCGTCGTAATTTTTTATCGAAGTTAATTAAAAAATTTGTTTGATTAAGAAGAAAAAATTCTAATGCTGATGGACGTAAATTATAACGACGTAAATGTACATCTTGTAACCATGATAATGGATATTTAAAATCTTTTTCACAAGTTTTTTGTGGTGTTGAATCAAAAAAATAAATATATCGATTTGTTATTTCAAGTTTACCATCTGTTACTGATGTTGAAGTTATTAATGAACATTGTGTACCAATAATCCTATGAAAGAGAACAAGATATTAGTGCAATCTTTATCAAATTAAATTATGAAACATGATTGATCTACATATTTTTTTAAAACCAATATACTTCAATTTTAAACTTTCAACATACTAATATGTCTGTAATGTAAGATCTTATTAATAATATATTACAGAGAGTTTAAAAAGGAAGCCAATAATAAATATCTTAATTTCAATCTTCTTTCATAACAACTCCATGTGGAAGACTTTAGTGTCCTGACTAATGTGGGAAGTCTTTCAACTCATTAATCTCTTTTGAGTCGAGACTATGTGGTTCATGTAGACCCTAATGAATTAAGAATATAGTAAAAAGGTTTCAGACTCTCGGCTTATTTCTGCTGAGATACTGCATTTTTACGATATTTTCTTAGTTAATACCGTGGTTTCTTTTTGGAATACTAGGAAAACTGATATTTCAATTTTGACTTGAAAGTTCGAGATATTTTCGTAATTCCTATTCTAACGAAGAAACATGTTTAGATAATACCCTTCAAATTCGTTCGTTTATACATCAATTGATAGAGTGCATCAAGCCAGAAAAAAGGCAAAATAAAAGGATATCGACTGTTGGCACTCCTTTGAGAAGTTACGAAGGCTTTTCTAATTTTTCCATCGAAAAATGATGGCAACGAAGAAGCTCGAAACTTTGTTTAGAAAAATCTGACAGAGCTTAAATCTATTGTGTTGCTAGTCCTAAAGCCCTATTATATACACCGAAAGTTTTACCTTTCTAACTCGTTCCATGCCAAAGTTATAGGACTTTCTAATTGGATACGAAGGATTGGCTCTTCAGTCAGACGCACCCACGCACACGATATAGGATGAAAAGAAACGTCAAAACGTCCGATAACTATAGTGACAGAGAAGAAACATGAACAAAAATAAAACTTCATTACAACAAAATTTTACTCAAGGATTTTTGGTTCAAATAGAAAGTGGTATAACTTGAGAAAAAGAATGGACTAATTAGCTGAAACTTTTAGGACACATATTAGACCATAAAGTTTACCAACATAAAGCGTTTTAGTTCTCTACGACTTTTCTGGACAAAATTCTCAATTTTTTCATTTCTATTGTCTTTCACTGAGAAAATCAGAAAAGCCTCCGTAGCTCTTGAGGAAAATGCCAAAGATCGATATCCTTTATAGGTAGACGTATGCGCAATTTAAATCGAAGGATTTCACATTGAGTGTGTTTCCTCGTAAGATATAGTTACAATACAAGTTTGCCTTTTACAGTGCTGATGTGTACACCTGCAGATTTGATGCTATTATTTCAAGAAAGGAGTAAATCAAAGGATCGAAAAATTTCACAATAAACGATTCTGGTTAAGACCTGTCTTATATAAAGTTTCAAATCGAAACTTGACAATGAATTTGCCTAATGTTCCGAAGAGGATCAGAGTATTGACTTAAAACAAAAGCCGTAAAAATACAATTTCTCAACAGCAATAAGCTAAGGAATCGAGCTGCTTTCACTGCATTCATAGCTTATTAGGATGTAAATGATACACATTGTTTGGACTTCAAAGCCGTTAACCGGTTGGACGACTTCCTTTGTAAGTCTGTTGCAGCTTGTGATGGTCAAGGGCATCCTTTCAGATTGCCTTTCACAAGATATGAAAACATGATTTTGACTTTTTCTTTTCTGCAACTTACATTTTTTCTTTTTCTTCAAGTAATAATGATTGAGTTTCATTTGCAATATCTAGAAGTTCTTGTTCATCAAACGAATTTCCATGTAAAATTTCTTGTGGAATTAATAAATGATTATTTTTTAAACTTTCTTCAAGTAATGATTGACGTGATTCGTCTATTGAATCAATACCTAAATTATCTCTTAAACGGCTTGCTTCATCATGTTTATTAAAATCTTTGTTTTCAATAAGTTTACACCTCATGCGGTGAATATTTTCTCGATCAGATAACTTCCAATAACGTTCTTTACAATTTTTTTCATTCCACCATGGACCACGTTCACCATTAATATATTTTTCTCGATCTTTCCATTCTTTTTCAACATGTATTTGATGTATACGACGTTGTTTAGCTAATTTCAACATACGTTGTTGATCAGAACGACGACGCTGATGCCAATGTTCAACAATATGACTCTAAAATTTATTTGTTTATTTAAAAAGAAATTAATATAAACAATTAAAAAAGTTCGTTGATAACAATCTTATTCTAATAAAATCATCCATTGAAATCTAAACTTAAATTTTCGATAAAACAATTTCGATGAATTTCTATGACATTCGAAACTAATTGAAATTCTTAAAGATTTTTTATTTAACTTTTATAATATGATTATCGACGAGCATAAATAAAAAAAACCTATTAAATATATGCATATACTAGTGAAATATAAAACTCAATATTTAACTAATACTTAATCAATCTGATGAACATCTTTAATTGTTGGAAATAACAAGCTCATTACATTAACAAAAAATGGATAGCAGCTGACTAGTTTAATTCTTTGTGCTTCATAAATGTTTCAGGCGGATTCAGCTTGCGAATATTTTCTAATACACGTTAAACTTTGAAAAATATGTGAAAATTCAAAGATGGTTGTGGGTGTGGGTGTGTTATTATTTTTTTATTCTTGCTAACTCTTTTTTTCTTAATTTATCATTCTTATTATTATAATCAGTGAATCGATTCACAAATCAGTGTGTTTTACATATCTATGATATCTACAGCAGATCTTACACACTATCATATATATTAATCAAGTTACAAATAACTATATTCATTATTTTTCAAAATTATAACTTGATCAAGGGTGTGGGTGTGGCAAATCTTGTAAAATCTGCCAAAAAATTACCAGAAGATAATTTTACAATATATATACTCTGACTTCAGCTCAATCTGTCGAAGAATCTAAGAGAAAAACACGGAGCCATGTATAGTTTTCGCTATTTCCGTTACGAAAATTTGATTTTTGAACTTTTAAAATTTACAAAACTATAAAAAAAATTAAATTTTACTTGAAATTTTAATTTTTCTTCACCAATTTGTCTATTTCGTTTATGTATACCAATCATCATCATTTCATGACAATTATTCCACCATATTTTCATATTCATATGAAATGGCCTTATAGACATTGAACGATAATGTTCAGCAAGTGGTTCAATATGTCGTTGAATAAACATTTGCCATTCTTGACTATCTGATGATGAACTATATTGACGAAAATCATCTAATGCTGTTGATGTTGCTTTACGTAATGGTACATTGGGTATTTGTACATTCATTTGAAGAATTTCATAAGATTTATCAATAATTGTTTTCATTATTGGTAATAAATATCCAAAATGTTCAGAATCTTCATTTTGCGCTATAGATGAAAGGATTCTATTTACATTAGATAATAAATATGCAGCTTCTTCACGTCCATTTAATGGACGACTATGTAATAATGAATGTATACGAACAGATGCGGGACCACAATATGATAGATTTGGATGAGAAAGAAGATTTAAAAGAATATTAAGACCAGTTAATGATGTTTCAGTCCAATGTTCATCATGTGAAACAAGTGTTGATACTGTTTGATCACCAGTACCATTTTCTTCAAATATAAGCATTGAATCTAATATTGGAAGAATTCCTTTAGAAAAACGAAAACGAATTTAATATAAATGATTTTTGTTTTCTAAAAGAATAAATTACCATTAATAAAATTTTCTGTAATTCGATCAGTAATATCAGTTGCTTGTGAAAGAAAATCATCAACGATTTTAATTAATTCACGACAATTGTTGTCATAAACTGATGTTGTTTTACCTAAATAAAGACATTAGTATTTTCTTTTTTCTTTCAAAACATTAAAAAAAATGTAAGAAACAAAACAACAGTTAAGAAGAAGAACATTTTTTTTCGTGAATGACACAACAGTGCTTTGTTGTACTTCTTATTTACCACTTACGTATTTCGCTCATACGCCGTCGATATAGACGGTCATAACCTTGATATGCTTTAGATTTTTTTTATATAATAAAGATTAATGTAGAAAAAAAGAAAAAATTTAAAAAACTAAATGAATATCATACCTCCACTTAGTTTAAGATCATTTAAACATACTTCCATGCTTAATTCAAGTATACGTCGTTCAATATAAACTATTGGTAAATAGAATTCATAATCACGATGAAGATAACGAAGTGCTGAAAATATTTGACCACGATTCTAGAAGATTAAAAAAAAATATATATGTTATAGAAAAGAAAATATTCAATAGAAAAAAGAAACAAACTATCCAAGCTTCATCATCAGCATTGGCTATTCCTTTCCATAAAACCATTACTATTGTTAATATGAGTGTTTCACAAAGTTCTTCAAGAAGACCACCATCTTCTGGATGAGTTGGCGAAGGAATAAAAAACGATGTATCTTCTATACTTGTCGCACCTGAAAATAACAAAATTATGTAGAATAGTCTATAAAAAATAAAACATTTATTACAAAAATCTTAGATCTTAAGAGAGAACTCTCGAAATGACAAAAAGTTTTTGGGAATAGATTTGTTTTATTAAGTAGATTTTACTGAGATTAAGCAAAAGCCATAATGGTTTATCCTTTTTATGTCTTTTCTTGTCAGTTTATGGCAATTTTATTTTGTTGCTGACTTCGTGCAAGAGAAGGATTGATTAGTGGCTAGTTCAAAGTTTAGATCAAATGAACGAAAGATTATTCGAGTAGATTATAACATATCACAAGATCTGTTCCAACAATTCAGTTTCTGAAACTGAACTGTTCGAAACATTTTGTTCTATTTTGAGAACGACATCTCAGTAACAGAATAAAGTTGTTTTTTAATTGTCGAAAGTGTCATTTCCAAAGACACAAAAAAAATTATTCGGACAAATCGTTTTAGATTAGAGAACGGTTTTAACAGTTTCTCAGATTCCAACTTGAACTGAACTTGTTGACCTCTAGTGCAGGATATATCATAAAAAACTCAATGCCACCTTTTTAATCTGAAATTTTTCCTACAAAAAATTCTTATGAATCTTATCATATATTGGAACTTTCATCTAGAACGAATGTTTTCTTCTCAAGATATCAGATATACAAGAAAATAGGATTTTTTAAAATATGCGCATTGGTTAAGAATCTGATATCTCGAGAAGAACATATTCGTTCTAGATGAAATATTCAGCAGTGTACGACAGGATTCATAAGATATCTTGATGAGTACAAATTTGAAGTCTAACGTCAGTAAAATTGTTATAACTCGAGAAGAAAGCAACAAAGAAAAGAACCATTATAAGTTTTACTTATTCTCAGTAGACTCTACTGAATGAGACACATTTAACTTCAAAAATCTTTTATCATTTCAAGAGATTTCTTCGTTAGAGAGCGATCTTCTTAATGCAATGTATGTCTCAGGTTTTTCTGTCTATAAAAGCAGATTTAATTTAAGAAGAATTCCAAATATCGAATACAGTAAAATGAATGAAATGTTTCAAATGTTTTCAGCAACGAAAAATCAAAATCTGGAGAAAACTTTCGATGCGTTTACTCTTAATAAGAAAGTTTCTAATAAATTTTCATCTCACATTCAAAAATACTGATCTCAATAGAAAATGCTTTTGCATGAATTCTGTATTATTTAACTGATCTCTTCATTTTGTCAAAAAGAAAAAAAAAATAAAAAGAATTTTAAGAACAGCAAAGAGATTGAGAATCGAAGTTAAATCAATCAATTTTTTGCCGTAAAGCAGACCAAGAAGCGAACCTAAAAGCCGTCTGACTTCGGGACCAAGGCGTCCAGGCTGCTCATTGTTTTCTTCATCACTATAAAGATGTTTTATACTTGTCATAGTAGTTGTTCTTGGTAATGAGCATAAAGCGTCGCTGCTACCAGTTATTGAAGTAAAATCATCAGTTGAATTCTCTTTTTTAACCGTTAAAAGAAGATCTTCATGACTAGTTGAAGACAATCGTAATGTTGATCTTCCTGGTTCAATTGAATTTTGTTGAGAATATTCACTATTTCTTTGAAGAAATTCTGGTGTTATATCTTTACTATCGATAAAAAGACTAATAGATGAACGACCTGAATGTAATGATACTGATGGTCTTGGTGATGCAAGTATTTTAGCTAAATTTCTTTGAATATTTTCATCTATAATTGGTGATAAATCAGCTTGTTGTGAAAGTCTTTCTTGTGTTGAATCTTCTACACTTGATGATGATTCAAATGCTTGTCGCGTTTTTAATGAAACATGAAGACTATTATTATCGATAATTGTACTATTAGAACTTTCTCTACCAAAATCAACACTTTGATCTGTTTTGCTTGTTACAGGAACATCATTTGATACGTTTGGTGATGTTAAATATTGAGATAATTGCATTGATATTGAACGACGAGATTTAACAAAAAAATGTGCTAAGGTTTCTTGCCAACCATGAGATTTAGCATATGAACGACATACTGATGGATTTGCAATAAAACATGTCGTTAACTGAAAATAGACAAAAAAATAGATATCAATGAAAAGATAAAGTAATGATTTCTCACTTTACGCATAGCAACATAACGAACATCAAGTGATGCAGCACTACAAAGTGTTAATACAATATTAAGTTGATCAACATCAACTGATGAATCTATATATAAAAACCAAAGAACTATTCATCTTATAGATTATTATCTTTAGTTTACCAGAATTAATAATTAAATTAAGAATTTCTCGTACAATTGATACACTCAATTCTTTAGGTGTTAAATCTGATATAATTCCACCAAATCCAATATGATTTGTTTCTAATCTTAATTGTGTTCGTACTTGTTGTGGCACACGTCGTGATGCCACAAGATATTTAATAATTTTCAAAACAATTTCTTTTGTTTTACTTGTTAAATTATTTAATGTTAATAAAGCATAAAGACTGTCAGTCATATTTGGTTCACAAAGAAGTCCTATTGTTGTCTCCGTTGATGATGATGGTGGATCAATTAATGCAAGAATAAAATCAAGTAATTCTTGTGTTATAATATCATTTAATTTTGATAATGTTGATATTGAACAAAGTAAAGCATTAAGTTCTTCAATACGTATATGACGTTGAACATAATATTTGATAATACCATAAACAGCACTACGTAATTGTTTTTGTTCATCCGTATCTTCTTCTGACGTACTAAAATAACAAAAAAATATATATTGAATAAAAAATAAAATAATAACAATAAACAAAATTTATCTACTGAAAATGTTGTCGAATAATATCTAAAAAATATTGTACACCAAATTTTGATCGATAATATTTTTTTTCATCTTTTATAATAGCTGCAATATATTGTAAATGTGCTGTTCGTACATCATATTTAGCTTTATTCCATAAACCAAAATCAAGTAAAATATATTGAATTAATTGATTTGTTAATAAGTTAGATGATTCATTTAATCGACTACAGTCAATTAATTGTTGAATAGCAATAAGTAATTGTTGATCAATAAAAAATGATGATATACGATTTAAATGTTGGCCTAATAATTCAACATTATAATGTTTTGTTATTTGTTCAGTTAAAATTATTGTTGACGTTGATGATAAAACACAACGAAGTAGATTTATAATTGATGCCATAGGATTTGAAATTAAACGATTATCAATATCAGATAAATTTTTTTGTGATTGTTTACGAACAATAATCCAATCAGTTGATGATTGACCATTATTTGGTGTTAATGATGATGGTGTTGATATATTATCTGAAGGTATACCTTCAAAACAGTCCGTTTCTTGAAATTTTTCAAATAATGGATAAAGTATAGGACAACCACCTAAATTTAATAATGATTCAGAAAATGAACGAAGACGTAAACATGAACCATTATTAAGTCGACCATTCATTTGAGATGTACAAGCTGATATATCAACACAAATTTGACCATTACATGCTAATGGATGATAAACAAGAAGAGAACGAGTTGCAATTAAATCGAATATGATTGAAGACATTGAAGTATCACTACTTGATATTGGATGCTGTTGATGACAAAAATCAGCGCCTAAAAATTAACACATTTTATAGATTGTAAATTATAAAAAGAGATATTTCAATTATTTTCATCAGATATGATTATATGAAAAATTATATTGTGAACAAAGTAATTAGAAGAGACTCTTAACATTTGATAAATTACTTCTGAGATGAATCTTAACTTATTAAATAGATCTTATTGAGACTAGAAAAAGTTTCAAAAATATTCGTATTTATGAATTTTTCAATGAAATTCAATACTTCCTTTCAGATCACATTGACAATTGACTTGCGAATTCAAACTTGTCACAAATAAAGTTTTCAATGGGACTAGTTCATTGTGAAAGTGTCAGATTTTCAAGTGTCTCTTATCCTAAGATTAAAATATGATGATAATGTTGAATTTTTATAATTAGCAGAGTTTTCAATATTAATATTTGAGAACAGACAATAATTGAAAAATTTATCACTTTGACAGTGAACTAATTCTAATGAGAAGTTTACTCGTGTATAGCTTATATTAGAACGTCAATGTTGAAAGTGATTTGAGAGGGAGTGCAACATTTTATTAAAAAATTCCCTTAAAAATATATAAATGAAGAAGAAGGATATATGAACATGAATATTTTTGGGGTTTTTCAAGTCTCAATAGAATTAATCTAATAAGCTGTGAATCATCTCAAATGTGATTTATTGATTGGCAAAATGACCCCGCTCAACATATAGACAAATGACATTTCTTTTAGTTATAAAACAATTAGAATGCTTTGAAAAGCATTGTGCATTAACTACATTCAATCGAATGTCAAGATTGTTTGTCCTATCCATTAAAAATAACAATGAAAAATCATGCGAGAATAACTCTTGTCTGTATTTCATCAAACGTAAATCAAAAACAAGTTCGTCTATTGTCTTACATATATATGGGAGGGCAAGACTGATCATTTCTAAATTTGAGATATATTCCAGACTTGAATACAAGTGAGGCGAAAGAAACGATTTATTTTTACTCTATAATGCTGAAAAATGTTGAGATTTCTGCTGGCCATTTTAAGAAAAACTGCTTACATTTTTGTATTCAAAAGTGTCAATCGAATAAATCTTGTCAAGTCCAACATATTCGGATCCGGCCTCCAAGCATATTTTTAATGTCAAGAGAAAGTTTTTAATCTGAGTCTGAGAGTCGCTCGGAATTCAGTTACTGACACACCTTACATATTTCTCAGAAAATTTTGGCAATGATCTTATAATAATCAAGTTATTATTGACTGTTACTTTTTGAGTATGAACTATTCAGTTGGTTCTAGACTCGGTCAACATGAAACTTTCTGATTCAGACCAATTCGAAAAAAATTAACCGTGGATTCACGACAATGACTGAAAACTTGTTTGTCTCGTTTTAGCAATCTGATAAAACTTGACTTTTGAACAGAAAAAAATATTCTATTGCTGTACTGTGATTGTAACAATGGTAAATTTTCTGATATGTTCTGCTCATTACAATAACTCTGTCTATTTATAATTCTAATTTTTTTTTTGTGTTAAATTAAAAACTCAAGTATTACCCATTGAATGTAAATATTTAACTTGTGCTTCATTCAATGTTTCTGCTAGAATCCAAATACAAGCTAATTGTCCATGTAAACTAGTCGATTCTCCAAAAATAGCATCTTGACTATTAGGTTCAATTATCATAATATTTTGTCCATGAAGTAATGGATTTCCAGCAGATAGATTAGGAGTTTTAGCTTTCGATGAAAATAAACCTTTAATTGGTTGTATTGTTTTAGCAAATGTTCTTGATAAAGGTAATGAATCGTTTTTTGTATTCATTGTTGATATACGTGGTCGTTGACTAGGTGCACCAACTGAAGCTAAACTTATTGGATCATTAATTAAAGATACATATTTAAAATCTTTTATTTGTTTTTTTAATAAACCATCAAAATAAACTGTTAAATGACATGTTGATACAGCTTGAAATGCAGCAGCAAGTAATGATGGTCGTTGTGCTGTATGAATAATTGTTAATGAATGCCAACAACCATCCAATAATTCATCAAATTCATTGATTTCAGTATAAGCAAGTTCACGACGATCATTAATTAATATATATATTGATGAATTATGCATAAAAGATTCAAGACCAATAGAATCTGAATAAAATGAATAAATTTGACGACGAGCATTATGTGGAAAACTATCCATTTCATGATTAAATCGTAACCAACAATGAAATGAAAAATGTAAAGACGAAGATGATACGGAGGGCCAACGACGTATAATTGGTAAAATAATTCCCTACAAAAAAAAATTGAATAAATATAAGACATAAAAAAAGAAAGAAGTTTTTTTCATTACACTGTTTGATCTATGTAAATCAAAATATGATGATACTGTTTGTGTATCAGGATCATCATGCTTAGCTGCTGTAATTAAAATACGTAATAATTGTTTTTTAAATAACGTATTTTCATTGAACAGTTGACAAATATGACGAATTTCTTCCGTACTTATTGAAAAACGTGCTAATTTTTCTAATGTTGAAAAAATATTATCAAGTAAAACTTTATCCGTAGATTTATTTAAAAAAAGTATATCAATTAAAGAATAAATAATATCATTTGAGCAAGCCATCATTTTATTTTGTAATGAACGTGATACAATTATATTTATTGAATGTATAATATGATGTTGATGAAATGTATTTATTAAATATGGTATCCAATGTATTAATATAACAGTTATATGTGGATTAATTAAATGAACAAATACATCAACAGCTGTTAATGAATTATCAACTTGTAATGTAGGTTTTTCTGTCATAAGTATAAGTAATTGGTTTATAAAATCAATTGTTGGTGAATGTATATGATAAAGAAAATGAAATATTTTTTCATAGCCGTTAAAATTAAGAAATTTTTCTTGAACATTTTCTGAATTAACAAGAAGCTCAGAAATAAATTGAAGAATTGACATAATATTAGTTTCATCATTTACTTCATCAATTAATATTTCATATATTATTTCTAAACATTTTGCTTTAAGAAATTCAATTTTTAATGCAGCACGATCAATATAATCACGTAAAAGATTGGTTAATAAATTAAATATATTTGATAAACTTGTATGTTGTTTTTGTTTATTAATAAATTGAAAAAATTCAATAAGATATTCAGTTAAATCATAAGGTCGTTGATCAATAGTCGTTTGATGAAGTGTTCGAATTGTTGTAATGTTTTTATCGACATTTTGTTCATCGATTAACATCGTTGCTGAACGTTTTTGTTGTTTGTTTTTTTATAATGCGCCCAAGCGCAAAAAATCGAAGGGACGGGAATCAAACAATTTCTATATCACAGATCTAAAAACTAATTGACGGATTTTATTATCTCTTAGTCATATAAAGAATGGAACTGATACATGCATATTTTTTTTCTTTCTTTTTGTACGATAATAAAATAACAATAAAAGAGAGAAGTAAAAGAAAATTCCTTTATGGAATGTCTAACGTTTTTTGCCCTTGCCTCCACCTTGTTGACTTTGTTGTTGTTGTTGTTGGTTTACACTACGTGTTTTTAATTTTGGTATCATTTCAACAAGATAAAATAATAAATCATCTTTTGTTTTAAATTGTTCTTTAATTAACGACTCATCAGCATTTTTTAATTGCACACGAATACGGCCACGATATTGCGGTTCACGTGATTCCTCTCGACAATATAAACGATTTGATTCTACAATAACTTTTAAACCAGCATTCTCTAAAATGTCACGTATTTCATTAACCGATGGATTGTCGACAGCTTTTGATTTGCCAACACGACGGCCTTGTGCTCGTGTTTTTTTTGCATTTATATAAGCCGGATAAATACAAACAAAACGACATTGATCAGCATGTGTTGCTGAATTCGGAAAAAATGCTTGAACATTACGTTCTCGTTGTGATATTGATGAGTAACTAGTTGCCATCTAAAAGAAAAAAAAAAATTTCTTCTATGCTTATCGGTCACAGATAATTCATATTTAAAAAAAAAAGAAAAAGAGCAAATGAGAATTGATGAGTCATTCGATTATATAAAGAAAAAGGTAAAACAAAAACGACAAGCAAAGAAAAAAATAAGCAAAAAAATGATATGCTTAATGAGTCATTCTCAATTATTCTCTAAATATATACATATTTAACAAGGTTATTTTTATTTTACAAAGGAAATGTTGGCATAAAATAACTATCAAGGTTTTTTTTTCTAGATGAAGATAAATATACACCAAAGATATTAGAAATAGACATAAGAAAAAACATAGTTTTACGTGTAACTTGTAAATTTTCAAAATTCAAAATAAAAATAAAATTCTTCTTATCACTGACAGACACATTATGCCAATAAATATTTTATTTCAATAATGATCATCGAAGTTCTTCTATTGTCGTTATTCTTGCAATTAGAAGAGCAAATAATAATATAGAAAGTGTGTTTGTATCAATTATAGATGATGAACTATTAGATTTCAAATCATAATAATGTGCTGTTTGATCTTCTAAATAAAGTTTATAAAAAATATATATTAATTCTTTTTACAATATTCTTTTATTCCTTACTTAATATTCAGTATGAGCTCAATGCATTCACTTTACCTCAACTAAATAACATAATTTACTTTTTGAAAAGTATCATTAAGAATTGTATGATTGATATAAATAAGTATCAATAATGAATTACAAATATTAACATTGATGTTATTTTTTATTTTTTTACTCGACATTAATTGTAGACATTATCAACAATCAAAATTATACGCGATGGTTTAACTTTGATGTATTTTACACTGACAAACAAAAATATGATCATATTTTAATGGTTTAATTATTTGACCATGAACTTCAATATTTTCAAGTAAAAGAAACTATAATTTGGAGGAATGAATAAAAAACAAACTAAAATAGAATATAAGATTGTGTTTATCTGTTTGATAATTTTCGTAAAATTTCATATTAACCATTTATTTTTTTAAAGAATTTAAAAGGCGTGAAGTATAAAGGATAGGAATTCGTATCTCTTTCCCACAGCAGACTGTATATTAACAATGCCTTATTATAATACATAACCGACTACCTTATTTCATTTCTCAAGGATTAAGTAAAACGATGGTGAAGAAATGTGTCCCAAAATAGATTGAATAAAACAATCTCTTTGAGATTAACAAAAGAAGCTACATCATGTTTCACATTTTTATCCCGCAAGGATTACGCTAATAGCTTTTTAAATGATACATTCAATATATATATATATATTTATTGACAATCAAATCAAAATTATATTTAACTATGAAAATGATAAGAAATTATCGTTTCGAATATTAATGAATTATTCTTTTGATGTTCCTTTTTGTTTTATATAAGATAATTATGAAGCTTAAGATAAGATTTTTCAATGCTAAAACATGCTGTCTACTTATCTCAGAATGAGAATGAAATCAATTTAATATGTTTACCATTGATTTTTTCTTTTTCTTCTGATAATTTAAAATAACAATCGAACAATCAATATGAAATTAAGAGACTCTCATATTAATATCCACTTAGGTTTTTTAAATAAGAAAATAATAATCTCAACTTACTATTGAATAAAAAATAGTACCAACGACTGTAGCATTTTGTTGTTGTCGTCGCCGCTGTCTTTAGTGATAACGTCAAATAGTTGAATAATTCATGATTGAGAAAAAGAAACTAAAAAAAGAAAGCATCTTCTCTTTGTGACATTTATGGAGATGAATCGTCTCTATTTATATCCTGATATGTTTTGTATATTCACATATATCATTAAAAAATCAATACATGCTGACAGACTTCTCACAGTATAAGATGCATTTTCTGAATAGAAAACATTCTATGCTTATGACTATTAATATACAATAGATGTGAAACCCTTGAAAATGAAATATGTGTAATTTTTTGTAAGCGCGAAGAACAATGAATGTTCAAGTTCAAGCGTGCGATAAAGTAAAAGAAACGATGAGATATAACTACTTTGAATAAGCATAAACGAACATGAAATAATTTGTCAGTACGAGTGGATTACATAAAGATATTTCTTTTTTCCTTTTAGTTGTGTGCATATCTTGTATGAAAAAAATCTATTTAGGACAATATAAAAATTTACTCTAAAATTTCTCAGGAAATTCTAAATTTCAATCTTGCCTATAGCATGTGTATATATAAAGGAATTTAAATGAAAGCTAAGCGTACAAATTTCATTGAATGAGAAAAGAACGAAAAGTAAATGAAAGAAGGAAAATAACACACTAGCAGTAGAATGAATGGGTGAAATATGGGAATGCAATCGTTCAAACTGGAATTGAGAAAAATATCTATGTTAAATATTCATATGAGTTCACAATCTTGTTCATTGATTTATAAATTTACCAATAAGTTACCTCATTTTGGATAATAGCATTTACGGAAATGAGTCTTGACATTAATTGATGAATATATATAAATAACATACATGGATGAGGAGATGGTTAATCAACAGAAAAACTAAATGAACGTCAGTAAAACAGTACACATCACGAATGAGTAACATTTAGCAGATGTTTTAATAATGTAAGTCATCCATTATAGTGTATAAATCAACTGAGAAGAGCAGAATAGATAATTATTCGGTTCTTCTTCAGGATCTTCCCTCCAGATCGGCGATACCTTGTGCAATAAGTTGGCTAACTGGTAGAGCTCATCAAAGAGTGTGCGAGCTGTAGTGTTGCTAATCAGCAGCAACAACTTTCTTCAAATTAGACACACTCTACATACAAATTGCTGGTATAGCACTCGATGATGGTGGAAGGATGTGTGTAATTTGAACAAGTACCATTTATTCAAAAAAAATACGTATCTAAAAAATTTCATTCAATCAATAATAAAACGAAAGAACAAAATGTCTAATTATTTTCTCTCTAATTCAATTGATAAACAACGGAACATAATAAAACACAATGTCATATTCATGCATAAGCAAAATGATGAGAAAAAAATACCGACGTATTAATCTTTATGGATAGGTTGAAACAAGTAACCAATAAAAAACAAATGAATCAGTCTCTACGTTAACTTATAACAGTAACATCGATCATGTACACACGCAACTATAAAATCGAACTGAGAAACCTTAAAACTTGTCTGTTATTCTATTTTTAATAAAGTTTAAATCAATTTAGGTAACCTTCACTAACAGATAGATTTATTGAATTGAAAGTAGCATATGTAGTCAACTATCTCGAAAATAATATTTAACAATGTAGGAGATTCACGATTGTCTACTCATTATTAGACGATAGCAATCGAATGATCGATAGATCATCATTTGAGAATTCCTCTTTACGTTTTTATTTTCATTTATTTTGAAAATTTGTTTACAGATTGAAATTACAAAGTTCTCAATTCATTTTCTTAAAAAATATTAAACCAACTTTTTATATGATGAGTTTTTTTAAATATTATATCAGACAATGATAATGTATTCCAATCGAGAAGTAATAAATATATATCTGCATGTTTATTTTATATTTTTTTCCTCGTCTCATAGACAACAGATGTACTAATAAAGGAGTATCAATCATATATAGTAAACCAGGAAGTGATCATTAGCTGTATGCGTTTAGTTTCTTCATTATGTTATTTTATTTTTTTGTATTGATTTTATCTCAAAAGAAAAAGAAAAAACATTTTCCACATATCTTTATTACGATTATAATCGAATGTTGTTGTAAATATTTGAAAAAAGGGTTTTTCTATAATTTTAACTGAACTCGACTATATGAATTCATATCATATTTGTCTTGCCTATGCTACATTGAAAGACATTAACAGTCATTTTTAGCAAATTACCTCATCATGTTCTAGGATCATAATTATAATTGTAATAAAAGATTAAATGAACGATACTAGCAATTTCAATTATACAATCATTGTATATAATATTTCGACTAATTGAATATATTATAAGTGTGTCAGCTAGAAGAATCAGAAACATGAAAATACAAAATGACTAAATTGTAATGATGAAATAGAGTATAATTTTCTATGGATCTTGAAATTCATTTAAGCTCTGATTATATATGATCATCGTCGAAGAATAGAGAAATTAGAAAAATGAAAAAATCTATATCTGTTATGCTTCTTATATACGAATATGGGTCAGATATGTCAGATCTCGGAGGAGTTTTTCAGAAAATTCATAAAAGACATCGTATTTTTTTGAAATTATAAATATTAAATCTGTAGTACATAATGTACGAATGCTTGTAGAATATTTCAATAAATATACTATTTAGTATCTATGTAACAGAAACTTGGCACTTTATCAAAACTTCAACTAATTCAAATAGGTGATCGTTTCTTGTCTAATCAGCTTTATTTATATCTGGCAACATCACAATATCTTTACATTATTGACTGAGATGGGTGTGAATGTGGATGTGTATAGACAAGAGAAGAGCGGACACACATACCCATAGCCTCCTCCAATGCTCTGCTAAATTGTGAATATACCAAAGTGATTCTACAGTGCGACTGATCAAATCGTATTTTCATGACAGTCAATATGTTTCATTTGAGAAAAATTATCCATCAAGTTGAATTTCAACAACGTTCTACAAAATCAAATCTCGTTCAACAGTCTACAATCGAATTACAGTTGGAATGATCGTTCGTGATTCATTCCGAATATTTTACGTTCATCGATTCGGATCGAAAATAGTCAGAAATTTTCTAGGAAATGCAACCATTATTCATTGGCAACAAACGAAGCGGGTTTCTATCAATTCTGATGAGATACCTGCTAATTTTTTCGTTTTTCTAGAAGAAACTAGCGGAGGTACCCGACGTTGCCCGGGAAATTCGGCAGTACATCCTTGAAGCAGTAGAAGGTTTTAAAAAATCTATCTATACTGAAATAAAATTTTATTGTAAAGCAGATTGATACACAATGTTTTTAGTTTTCGAATCAGGAACAAAAACGTACAAATTTTTTCCATTTCCAACTCTTGAACATGCCACGTAAAGTTGACCGTGAGAAAAGCAAGGGATTTCTAGGTTAATGCCGGCAATCTTAAGAGACTGTCCTTGAGCTTTGTTGATGGACATCGCGAAGGCGAGACGAATTGGAAATTGTAGACGTTTGAATTCAAAAGGCATATCAGAAGGAACCATGGGTATTCGTGGTATGAATATATCCTCACCCTTTGCGCAGCCTGTCAAGATAGTTGCTTCGATAACATGAGGCATTAAGCTTTTCACGCACAGTCTTGTACCATTGCATAGTCTTGGTGCATCCAGATTCCTTAGTAACATAATTGGAGAACCGATTTTGAGCACCAAGTTATGTGGCGGCATTCCAGGAGGCTCGAGAGAGTTAAGAAATTCTGTGGGATAATGAACCGCCTGGTCCGCATCCATAACTGTATCGATCGATTTGTACGATGTAGCTTCTCCAGGTAGCTGCTGTTGAATCTGTAAGTTGATGGTATTTACACTGTCATTTTTAGGAGCAAGAATAGCACGTTCACAAAGCCATTTGTGATCGTTGAAATGGTGCCGAATATTTGAGAACACACTTGTTTTCAGTTCTTCCACTGACTGTGCTATATTGCAAAAGTTCTCTGGAATGCTGATGAGTCCACTTGTTGGATCAACTTGTACTTTTCCATCACCAAGAGTGAGCAGTTCTTGAGCAAAACGGCCAGCAGACAAATCACCCTGCAAGTGAACTCGCATGTTGATTGTGAGCTCTAGCTTGCACACATATGCCCATAGATTTGAAGCTTTCAAGCAAGCTTTAAGTTCATCAGCCATTGTTCCCTTTGGAATGACCGGTAGTGTTTGACGAAAATCACCTGCTAGAAGTACAATCACTCCACCCATAACTGTTTGATTCCCCCTAAGGTCTTGAAGAGTTCGATCTAGAGTTTCCAATGCATTTTTGTGGGCCATTGTACACTCATCCCACACAATAAGTTCACACTCTTGCAGAACCTTCGCTTGACCTGTTCCTTTGCTGATGTTGCAGAGAGGATTTTCAGAATGTGAAAGGTTAAGAGACAGTTTCAGGGTTGAATGAGCAGTACGACCACCGTGAAGTAATGTAGCAGCAATTCCAGAAGAGGCCATTGCAATTGCAGTTTTCTTTTGCTGCCGAGTTTTCGCTAGAAGTAAGTTAATCACAAGTGTCTTTCCTGTTCCACCTGGTGCGTCGAGGAAAAATATTCCACCGGTTTTCTTCTTCACCAAATTTAGGATAGCATTGTAAATACTGCTCTGGTCCTGTGTCAATAGTGGTTCATTTGTTGACACATATTTATCCAGCTCATTCACATCATAACTTGTTTCTCGAAGCATTTCTCTGCTTAATCGATCACTCAAATGTCGTTGAGGAATAGGAAGCCCTAAATTCTTAAGGTCTTTACCACGCATTTCCAGGACTTTGTCTTTGATGAAGATCAGGGCTTGCTTGAACATATCAGATGTATACACTAAATCCATGCCAGGATTTTGTCTTCGAACTTGCATAAGAATGTCTTCACTCAGGCTTTCCTTGTGAGACTCCCACAATTGTCTGGGATTGGATAGTCCACACGCCGTTAGCAGAATGGCAAAGAGATATCTTAATCTCGCAGGTGACTGAGCGACAACAGCTTCGATCATCGTGGAATTCCAGTGTGCATCGTCTTCTAGTAACCCTCTAATTTGGCAAGCTTTGCGGAATGTTGCGCAGACATGACCATTAACGGTCCTAAGAGCTTCGAGGGAAGTAGGTCCTCTGACCGCATGGAGTAAGAGTCGCAGAAAGAAGCATTCAAAATTGTTTGGATGTACGGTATAAAATAAACACGACCAAAAGCAACTGTTGCTCTTACACCGCTCCATCCAGATACTGCAGTTCCTTGGACACGGCACTTGAAAACTTTTGCTGATACGTTCCATGTGTAATATTTTGGGACATCACAATACAGTAACGTCTTGGCGAAGTCATCTTTCTGATAGAGTAAGAAAAACGCAGTTAATGTAGCGTTCGGTGGTTCGTAGGATGTCGCTCATGGATGGGAAAATCGAGGATTCGTCAAACCGTTTCATTGTTACTAATATATATACCCATCAAGTAACGTTGAACTTCATCGATTGCTGTCCCAAAATATTACACATG